GGCTTTATTTCTTACAATTTCTAATTCCTGAAATTAAATAAAGGCTTTATCGTATGTTTGTACTTCCCATTCTCGAGTATTTCTGCCCATTCTTTGGTCTGATGAACGAGGCTAGTCGTTTGAAAATCTAAAATGTCCAAAGGCATCTCTGTAAAAAAACTTTTAGATAGGGAACATGCCAATATTTCCTACTCAGATAGATGCCAGCTAATTAACCTAAACTGTTTTTGGGTTCGAAGACTAGAAGCAGGCTTCTGTCACCTCTTTCACATTAATAATAACTCAAACCTTCCTCGGATTTCAGCCCTTATCATTAGTAGTCGCCCACACAATCTTCGCAACTCTTCGTTGATTATACCTCATCCAGCTTCCTCCACCTCGTAGTGTTCTTTATGTGCGCTTCCTGATGTACTTTTCTCTGGAATAACCTTCAAATATATATAAGACCTTCAGATAATCTACACACGTTTAAGAAAAGGATACGCCTTTATCTGAATACTGACTCGATTAAACTTTTACTTTCCTCATCCTTCTCGGATAAATTTCTCTATGACACCGAGAAAGGTCCACCGGGGGTTTAGTATGCCGCCATTAAATTTCCGTATCTGTTCACATTTCCTTCTTTTGTGAGTCGTATCGTTTCCTAGGATCCTCATCAAAAGTGTTAATTTTCCGGTTTTTCAGTCCATCCATCGTGCCCTCACAGAATGCGATCTATCGACGCTCTTGGCGGAACCTTCTGTATTTGCCATACACTAGTAGTCTTGTCGCATCTCCCTTGCCCCCTCCTCGGCTGGATTCGACTGAATGTAACTGATCGCATCTGGGTTCCTATCGCCTCGAAACTGGTTTTCAATTCGCCACTTTGACATGAATGGCCTCATCCGACATACGAATTCTCCCATGATGATTCCCGATTCGATCCTTTTGCTCAAATCTACATACAAGCCAGTCCTGCCTGACCCGCATACTAACATCTCCATGAAATCCGTCATACAATGCCAAACACAGACCGGTCCTGCCTGCTTTTTATAAACTAAGGAACGAGAGTTCTTTTTCTCCTATAGTTCTACTCCAATCATTCTAATTTTGTTTATGTAAGAAGTTTTTTTAACTGCTCGCTCAGCATTCGTCATAAAATACTACTTATTCAAAAACTATGAATAAAGTGCTCTAATAATTCTATATACCTCGTCTAAAATTCTAAAATTAATGTAGAAGTTATTCTTACTTGCTATGATAGGACCCCCACGGGTCTTGAATAAAAATTATTATTATTATTATTCAGATGGGGGGAGGGGGTTAGGATGGAGTGAAGGGAGTATGGATGGGAAGGGAGACGGAGTCACCGGGCGTGGGCTCAAACGCAGCATGAGATCATCCGGCCTCGTCTAGCCTGCCGATCCTTGCGGTTTCCTGGGCGTGGACTACTGTCAACACGAATTAATTCTCCGGGTGAATATCCAGCCTACTCGCCTTCGATTGCGTTAATAGGGATTCGTGGTCAGAGTGCGCTCGAAAACCTCTGTCGTCTAAAAGATGGCGGAAACAACGTACAGCCAGTAAGATGCAAACAAGTTTTCGGAAGAAAGTACTGTAATGCGACTATGTCGGTTTTAGCTCTTGTAATAGAAAAGTTAGTCGCAGCAGTACGTTATTCCCCTATTTATACAAGACTACGTTGGAAAGACTGTTGGAAGCGTCCAAATTAGTTGTGCATTAACATCGTGAGTCAAGGGGTCGATTACGGTGACATCAGTTGATTCTGTCTTGGCTGCTCCAAGAAGTGAGTAAGTCGCTGGCAAAACTGGCCGACTTTGATTTAAATATCAAAGAATCAGTCAGGAGAGTCGATATGCACCCGTGGACGAAATGTCTTATGAACAGTGTCAGGGTCTCTTTATTTCATATCATGAGCAGTAATATGCTCTGCCCTTTGTTTTGGCTAATGATCTCAATTGCGATCACAAATTAATGCTTATTAATTTCTTAATGGATAATAACACGATGAGCGCTATTCTCCCCCAGCAGATATATTTTGCTTGCATTTTAGTGTAGCAAACCATGCCACAGATAACTATTGCTAGGTATCCCATTCTACCGAATGGTTTATTACTAAGGGTCTGCGTTTACGTTAGGCCAACAATCAACTTTTTCTCCCACTATGCTGACTAAATCCCTAATGACATTTCCCAATTCTGTTGCTCCCCACCCTGGAATATAACAAACCCTTCCACAGTTGAACGTGGAGAACTAATCATTTCAGGATTTGAAATATATACTGTCCGTCTATCAGGGAACGGATATATTGGACATTCAACAAGTCCTTGCACTTGAACAGATCCCAGTTGCCTGCGGTTAACAGCCCATGAGCTGCGAGAATATAAGGTGGCATGTGGCTTTGAATGCACATGCAGTGGCCGAAATCGTTCTCTGTTTGCGGCCCTATAAGTTGCCCTTACGACATTCGCATATCTTTGTGGTTTATTCGTCCATCTGCAAACTCAAGCTCTAAGAGCTCGCTCTACTTTCTTCACAGAATAAACTTACCATACTTTGACCTACCAGTCGGTAGTAGGTCTCCATCTAACGTCTTCGTATTACTACTGGCTTGTATACGTCTCTGATTTCTTAAACAGGAAAAATGCATGATTGGTAAAACCCCTATTCAGGCAACGTGCGCTGCTTATCAACGAAATTTAAATTATATTTGGTTTAGTGGTTATATTTAGGGTTAAAGTTAAAGGTTAAATCTAAGGTTAGATTGAAGGTTAGAGTAAAGCGTGGGGGTGGGGCAAAGAATTTAGTAATAGCCGGCGTTGAAGTTAGGAGTCGGGAATATTTGCGTCTTGCACAATTTTGCACAAGTCCATCTGAATTACCCAGGTCTGTTACTATTTACGTGGTTTGCCCCTTTATATTCCCCTACGATTTCAGAAGGACCGCATGGAATAAGTTGCACAGACCATGCTGTTACGGCTGTAATGAGGGATTAATTAGATTTATCTATACTAATCTGGAGGTCAAATCTATTTAAATGTGTCGAACTGCAATGGAACCTAGAATGAGGTTAAAATGAATAGCGTTGTGACATGAAGACCCTGAGACGACATTAGCAATTTTCATAATGGGTTTCGAAATGTCCAAACAAACCTCTTTTTCCAACACAGGGCACTTTCTGACTGAATTCAATACTCATTAATTACTGTGCCCTGGAATTGTTGGAAAATCGCAGGCACCTCACTGTGGCAGTTTGTGATCTAGCCCGATAACTGTCTCCCCCAGACATCATCCATCAATTTCGAAAACCCAACTTACAGTAGGTGTGCTAACACATGAAATGTTATCCAAAATTATGAAATACGTCTTCGAGCCGAAAAGATTAGTCAAGTAAGGTTGTAAGATCAATTACTGTGCAGCAGAATCCCAAAATATTTCACTTACTGTTGGATGTCAAAAAAACTGATTTCTCGGGCAGAATTTCTTAAGTTGTCAATCTAGAATCAACCAGATAACTACCTGGGTCATTTACGAAGCTCGTTTTGGTCGTGTATAAGCCTTGCCCGTATTGTCGTGCTTTCGAATCCCATTGATGCCTCCGACTACTTCGCAAATTGGTCAAAGGAATAGACATGATTACTGAAATATTGTAAAAACTCAGCCTGGATTATGCATCACAGTGCATGTAAATGTTTAGCCAAATTCCTATGGCCACATGTTAGCTGTCCTTTTTGCTGCTTACCATGCGATTGGTGGCACAGATTTTATACGTGTCCATATTACTGATTTTAAATACTGTTCTAACATATCATATTCATTTTCGATCCATACATATTAACTATTCTGATCTTCAGTTCCTTCAAACGACAAATTTTCGTCTTCGCTCTTAATCCGGCACACCAATGGTCTTTCAGTTTTTGACCTCCACATTTCATTGTCCACATTTAGATTCTCATTCCTTTCCTCTGCATACTCTGCACAGTCTCGGCTCTCAATCCTGCAGGGTTGTTACAGGAATTGCTCTTACTTTTTGGATAATCCAAACAATATTTCTGGCATATTTTCCGTCCTGGTCAAGGTTGCCACGTCACAGCGCAACACATTTTAGTCTACGCGTTTATGCCATGACCTGATCGTTGGTAGCGACAATCCGGCCGCCTCGGTCTTCACTTCACTTCTTTAGGCTGCTCGGTCCTGTCTGAGATCTTCCCAAGTCACGGGGTTGGCATGTACACGCTTCAAGGAGTTCTTCGAGGTGTTCTTGTAGCAGTAGATTTAACTTCCTTGTTGGCAAGCACCCGTAGCGGCATCCCTACAGAAAAGTTTTTATGCTAGGGGTGTACAGTCTATTCATACCAGATGGCCGCTCCATCGCAATTGTAGTTCAGTTTAGTATTTTTAAAGATTAGATTTTCTATAAAGATATGCATCGATAAGAGGAAAGCGAGTGGATAAGAGACTGTTTGCATAATTGCATGAGAAAAGAAGTTGTCTGCTAGTCGGAAAATTGTAAACACGAATGTCTACTCACTCGATGCAAGTAGGATATTTATATTTAGGTTAGGTGACTGGCTATGAGAGTGCATGCGTTGATGGTAATTGGGAGGCCCGAGACGTGTCGAGTCTTCACCTAGATGAATCCACACAACTTGGCGTAGATGCCGAGAATTCCAGTTTGATTCAATACTTCCGTGCCCGCGATTCTGTCCTGCCCCCACCGCTTCTGTATCCGGCAGACACGACTCTGGTGGAAGTGATCGAGCTTCCACGCAGGTTTTGCGTAGACTGTCCTAATCTCTGCATCAAATAGCAGAGCCGTCATAATAAGAACTTTTCACATCATCAGGTTGGTGTTGAGCTGGTGGCCATTGCGACCACCTACAGAGTTCTGCAGCCAGCCGGAGGTTTGGCTGGTTTTGGAGATTAGAATGACAACCTTGTTGTCGATGTTTTCCTGCGCAAGAATTTGCTTTCCAGATAGGCGAAGTTATCTTCTGTCTTCATCTCAGCGTGTTGACGTTGATACGAGGAAAATTGTGTGCAGCCTTCGGTGGCAGTTGAGGCATGACCGACGTTTTGTCCGTGTCGTCAATGAATCTGAAGCTGGTATAACCGGAGACGCCGAGGTCCATGTTCCTTTGCATATCAGCTTCCAACATGGTGCTGAACGTGCAGTCATCCGCGAAGAGCAGGTCGGGGACAGTTGCTGCGGGGACGCGTTGGGGCCTGAATGCACCAGTTGTTGAGAGGATGTCCTTCGGTCTTGTAGGCCACGTGGTCCTTGGCACTCATTACGGTAGGCGCCCACCATTCTGGTAGAAAATACGAGGCTAACGAGGGTAGGGAAGAGTACGCAGCCCATCTTCACTCCTTGACTTCATTACACAAACAATGTCCATGACGGCCATGATCGTGCACTCAAGCCGTCCCGAAATAAATGTTCCAAGAATAAGCCATTGCTTCCTCTTCCATCCAAGAACTAGCGAAAGGTCATTGAAATACTCGTTTTAGGCCACTGCACAACGAATCACTGGCGTAACTCTAATTAAAAGGATGTTTGCTGCCATATTTCGTGATCTATAGGCAATGGGAGAACTGATCACGGACATAGATCTTTCCCACCAGACAGAGCAGGACAACTGAATCCCCGATTTTGCGTCAAAGCTCCTTCCGTTCAAATACGCCCAAATGGCCTTAACATCTGGTTAATTACAAAGCTTCCCTTAGATGGCGCTATGAAGAGAGAATCTAAAAGCTGGGCTGATAAGCCAAACACATTGGCGCGGAAAATGAAGGTTTGCATGGGCAACGAACTTTCTACTGTCAGTAACTGTAATCAGTAGCCCGCACTTAATTCACTCAGACTTCAGGAAAAAACGTCAACCGTAGTTCAGGATCGCTAAACCAGGAGGTTTTTGGGCAGACTACTGTGGCCTGGAGTAATTTCCTTCATCGTGCGTTAGGGATTTGACAACCGGTCTAGCAGTGAGCAGGACTAAATACTGAGCCGTTGGAGAAGCTAAACTGATAAAGTCTGAACATACGTATATGGCAGCCAATGCACAGCTGAATCCGAGATTACCATTCAGACACCTTGGATCTGAACCAGACTGGTGACCTTGTTAGGACAACAACTCGTCCCCGTTACCGACCGTTTATCCCCGCGTGATCGTCCGGGCGGCCTCTGAGTCTCGGCACGAAGACGGAGCTGGACTAATATGTTCTTCCAGGTGCGAAAATGCTACTCTCATGTCTCAGTGGTAACCAAAACAACAATTACAATAACGGACAAATAACCGACTTCACCAAGAACCACCACCTTCCATCCGCTTTCATCACAACCCTCTTTGACAGGTGCTACGTGCAGTTCTCTTGGAGGGGAAAGAAGACCCTGCATGGTCAATCCTCTCGAAACTGCGAGGAAGTGACGCGAGGCGATACGCTAAGTCCTGGACAAACTGCTTCATGACGGTTTCAACCGAACATCACCAGGTAAGATGTGGTTATGTAAAACCCCCCTGACGGACACGACACAGTTTGGGTTAGGGTTGGAGGTTATGGTTAGGGGTTTAGGGATGGAGGTTAGGGTAATGGGCTAAGGTTAGGTGTTAGGGTTAGGTTTAGTGGTTAGGACATCTATTTCCAAACTACTCAAAGTACAACCGCGCATTCGCAATAGTTTTCCTTTTGCATACAACCACTTGAAATCGCCACTTTTGCGTCCCCCAACCCCACATGTAAACAGTTCTATTACCACCGGCCCGAATTGCTAATGGCTGGGGTTTGTTCACTTCAGGTGGGCTTACATAACCACATCCGACCCATCATCATCATCATCGTCGTCGTCATCATCATCATCATGATCATCATCATCGTCGTCGACGGCGCAACTGTTCCAAAAATAGGTACCCCGAAGTAACTCCACTGACTTGCTCGATATCCGTTCTGTTCTCTCTCACTCTCTGCTAGAGAGAGAAAGGGAACCGCGGTTTGCCCTGATCTACAAACTCTGACGGTGAGGGCCTTTGATCTGTGAATAGTGAAATAGCCATTCTCTTGGAAATCAAAAGAGAGATTCTCCTGGAAATTCCTCGTAGGACTCCAGCCAAACATTTATTTTGCAAGTCTGCGAATCAGAAAAGAAGAACAAAAGACAGTAAAGAGGGAGAGGAAATAAATCAAAGACGTTTCTTCTTTATAATGTCAATCTTCAGTGACCGCCAGTATCTCAAGTTTTCGTACTCTGAGGGACCGTCCGGATGATTCGCGGCTGAACATTCAGTCGGACTGATTACTCCAGGAATCTTTAATGATTTTAGTTGAGACACTGGACAAACTAAACCGTCACTCAACTCGCCTTCGAATATTAGCATTCAACGGTCTTGAGCGGTGTGTAGCTTCCCTAACTGCAAAAGGGGCTCTCGCAGAAAACGGCTGTACCTGTCGTTTCAAATGCAGACAGGCTTCCGTCATCACAGAATCTGCTGACATCTCACGCCCAACTTTGTGAACAGGCGTCATCCTGTCTAGACGTCGCGGCCACTGGGGGCTGAGAGTCACTGCAGTGGCCACACCAGTCGGAATAGATATCGGGCGGCAATGTGAATGACAGCGAAGTCGGTCCTCCGTAGCGTAATTATCCCCAGCGTGTTCATCGGCGTTAAGGTCCACGCCCGGCCCCGACAGACCGCCGCTGTTAGGGTGACAGCCCGTCGTCCGCACCTGCGCTGACCTTGGGCCGAAGGCAACTTGAAGAGTGCGTCTCGAAGATGCGTTTCATTGGTTGGGCGTGAATTGCAATCGGACATCGAGAAAACGAATTCCTTATCGACCGCCTGCGCAAACTACACTCTGCACAAATGACTACTGAAGAAGCATGAACATTTCTCATCAATTTTAGACGCCTTCATAAATGCAAACATATTTTACAGAAGAATTGCATAAAGCATCTTTTCTCGAGTCATCTGGTAGCAAATTACGTATTCTTGAAATTCATACTCAGGAAAACAGTTTTTTACAGTTTTAGAAAATTTTCTCAGCTCCTTCATAAAGTTGGACCAGATTCACCGTTTCGCTTGCATTTAGGACTTACGAACTACAAGCTGTATGCTCGTTTTGCGAAGAAAGTCGGGCATCCAGGTCTCATACAATTTTATGATAAATATAGACTAGGTCGTCCAATTTATAGGCAGTATTGACAAATACGGTACGGGTGGGCATTCTACGGTCTTAAAAAGCTTATCATTGTAATTTTTTAAATCGAAGGAACTTTTTCTTCAAGAAGGAAATTTGAATGAGACGATATTTTTTGAAGGTTCAGACAAGAATGTTTTATGCATTTTATCTATGAAATACACTTCCATTTTTATAGGCGCATCGAAAATCAACGAAAACATTCATGCAACTTATATGAGAAGTCATTTTTTTGGAAAAGGATTTACGCAGACGGCTGATAAGGAGCTCATTCGAAAGCCGGCATCCCAGTGTGACTGAATTCTCTTGTTACTGTGCCCAGCGGGTTCAGAGCTTGGCAGATCACACTGTTTACCTAGGGCCGTGAAAGAGAGATGAGGGACACTCCGTCGATGTTATGGCCTCACTTTTCAACCCCGGTTCCGTAGCAAGTTAAACGATAGAGTTTGGGCGTACAGCAAGGTGGCCCTACTGTGAACAGATTTTGAATGGATTTCTACCAGTTTCACCAAAACGCTTAAGCATACCGACCTATCCACAACACTACCACCGTACTCAAAACCAAATCAATCGCATCAACTTACTCAGCCGAAATTTTTTAATGAAATCGTCCATACGCAGCTGTCTACCTCCATTATTGGACGTAATAGACGATTACATTACATTCCGGTGGGCCTGAATCCCGCTAAGAAAAAACAGAAACTTGTCGACAGTATTGAGCATTTGGTCACTGACACGACTGAATTGATTAAAATCTAATTTACTTCAATTCAATGCGGATTTATTTCATTAAGGTTACAAGAGAGCGGAAAGAACATCGCTGCAAAGTCTTGTTGAACGGGAATCATGCTTGAATAAAGTGCCAAATTGGAAAGCCAGGTGGTAAACATCTGTTTTCCGTAATTCGTCGTCAGACCAATACTATTTCAGGGGTAATGTACTTGTGAGTTATAGACAGGATTTAGATGTTTCTCAGGGGGCAGGGTTGGTCAACGTACTTGCTCCCACGTCCTCTGCATAACGGTGAGGCTGAGGCGTGGAGGGGGGGGGGAAAGGGAATGGTTCAGGTTAGGACGTCGAGGCGGCGTGCGATCACCATCTAGGGTCGGTCAGAGAAGACGGATTACCTGTGTCAACGTCTTCCGACAACAGAGCGTTGGATTCGCCAATAGAATGGCCACTGCCTCGGCTGTTGCTATCATGCGTTTGTCTAGGCTTATAAAGTAATGTGTTGGTGCCCGGTAGATTCCCTGAAAGGCCTCTTTGGCGTCAAGCTGCTGGTTAGTATCGATTAAATGTGTGAGGATTAAACTATAAATCCATCGATTTTCTTTTTTTACACAGCCAGACAGGCATGCATTCGCGTGCCCTATATCCAGACGACCGGATCTCGAAAGCCAGTCAGGTGGTCGATTCAGGACTCAAGACTCTGACTCAACGCGAAACCTAAGATGCGCTGAGTCGTCACCCTGACAACGTTGCTGTACGAGAGCAGCAAACTGGACAGTGAACGAGTACCAGGTGAGTAAGCTCAACCAAGTCCACGTCAGCAGCCTCTGGAAAATACTGAAGCCGAGGCGGCAGGAGAGGATCTCCCACACGAGGGCTCTCAAAGGAATAGGAGTCCTCAGTATCCACACTATGCCGAGTCAAATCCAACTACGGCTTAGTGGCCACATCGTGAAGTTGGACGATGAGCACCTACATAACGGCGATGTCGCCATGGAAGAACAGAAAAGACGTTAAAAGGGCGTTGAAAACTTTTCACAAGAATACGCGAGAGGATGAACCGCTCTGAAAAACGACAGTGGAGACTGGAGCAGCAATCCACGAAACCAACTGCCAATGGAAATCTCAGATCTCGCAGAGCAACGCTTTCAACTGCTAACCTCCTTTTTTATGTCGAAGATGTCAAAGGACATTCGGCGTGCGGATCAGCCTCCCCTGACCCAATGCACCCTCAATGTGGCGTGCTTCACCACGTCTGAAAATCGTCGTAGTCCAAATTCTATCACCATTTTTCGCCCTTTCCTCACTGTCTCACACATGGAAGGGCATAAAAAGACCTCCATAGCCACTGCAACACCCTGATGGGTGGCTTAGTCCGTAGATCGTGTGTGGCACGCGTAGACGGTGAAGCTTTGTAGATCAGATGGTTGGATGGTTGACTGTATTCGGGCCCTGCCCCAACTGTCTTGGGTTCAAATGCCAACGAAGCCGCCGAGTTTCTCTAAATTACGTCAAATGAATTAGCGCATATCCGTCAATAATTGTGCCCAATCCTGTCACCAGCTAGTTGACGGGGACGGACAGTCGACTGGTGCATTGGAGAGGCTAACTCCTTCCGGGTGGTCAGTACTGTGAACGTATGCTGGGTGACAAGCTGGTGAACAGTGAGACTGACTGCGTGGCCTCAATTAATGTTGCACTTTAGAACTCATACGCACGTGAGATCCGAGCCAACCCTCCCCTCCCCCGTTGACCAAAAAAACCCGGACCATTTTGCGCGGACCAAGTGTGTGTGGCACACGTAGACGACTTGCTTAGCATTGCCAATGGCTGCGCCCGATTCCATTGACGTACATTCCGAACAAGTATCGAAACGTACAAAATGTCAGCTGCCTTTCGCGCATTTACTCAACATCTGACGATAACCTGGGTACTGCTGCCGAAAATTTACCAAACACTGTTTCTCTGGCAAGGAACGTAGGTGACCTCAGATTACTTTTCTTGGAATGCCTGCCTTCCAAATTATGCTACAGGACAACGATCCCGGGACTCAGTAGCAAAGGCACTAGACTTCTAACCAGCTGAACATGGGCCCAAGCCTGTGAAATTGCAAAACCTCGGGCTGAGTATGGCTGTGTCCTGCGTATAAATGGCCTACTTCGGCCATTGAAGTAGTTCTGACACGCCAACTAGGACTAGAAAATAAACATTTCTCAAAGCTATGCGTTATGTCATCAAACGGACCATTGACACGGAACGAAATAGCCTCTAAGTCAACAGAAAAGGAAGCGTTCACCGGGAGGGGCGCATTGGAGGTCGCCCAGCCATAGGGCCTGAAAGTATGTCAAGAGTCTGTAGGGCTAGGCAGACAAAAGCTGGTCGGCCACGCCCCTCAAAATCAGCCTTCAGACACTCCATTGGGACCAAGTGTGTGTGGCCCGGGGCAGCTAGGTCGGTATCGAAGTCCGAACCCTAAGCCAGCCTGCAAACCACCACCACACAGCCTCACCGATAAAAACGAAACATGATCTCCAAGCGCCAGCTGAAAAGCATCCCCTTAACCAGAGAGGCGGGACTAAACCCACGCTGACCTGCTTACTCCGTCCGAAAAGCGAACGCCCAATCTGACCTCTGCAATAATTCGGGACAGCGCTTGTAGAGGGAAAAGCTGCCCTTGCGTTGTCCTATGCGTTCGGTGGAAAGAGGAAATCGTCCGTACACAAAAGCATGAGATATGCGCGGATGTCTGGTCAGCGTGAAATCCAAAACCCAAACAAACTTCCGTTAAGAGCACACTCTCCCACGACCGAGACAGTTGTCCAAAAATGAACGTCCCCACGTCCGACACTGTTCTCCCCTCTTACCACTCAACTCAACTTGAGCATTACTCCCTCACTTGCATCAGATTATATTGATCACACTTGTGGGCGCCTATTCGAAATGTCAAACGAACTGCTGACATCATGGCGCCAAGGCGGCGCTGATTCCGATCATTGTGTGGACCTTAAGGACGCCTTCCGAGCGATCTACAAGAACCTAATCAACCAACTGGAGCCAATGAAGCAGCTTCAGTCACTACAACCAATCAGGAGCTCGGCCTGGGATGCGATGACGATGAGTGGGCCAGAAACAAACTCTGTCGCTAAATCTCTTCAATTATTGGCTGACGGTACCTGGACCCAAAAACACGACGGAATCGCCCAGTAGTCCCATTCTCACGGGCTGTCAGACGTTATGCCCAAACTGTGTTTGGATCCTGCCAAACCGATAACCGGGAGGCTACGGTCGAAATACTACTAAAGCAGAAGCTCACACTTTGTCCATTAGTGCATTGAAAAGATAGGAGTAAAACTGTTCACAAACGCATTAAAAAGAGACCTGCCGGGAAAGAACACCAAAAAACTGCCAAAACGTATAAAATCACATGTGCATATAGGTGTGCGTACGCGTCTATGTTAGTGAGTGTGTGTGTGCGTGTTCTGCACCAACACACAAGACCACAAATGCTTAGAACCGCCAATTCGAAAAAAGTCGAGTTTACAAAACGAGAAAGGAGAAGCAAGGAGAAGACGGTTAAAAAGCCCAAGGACGACGACACAAATACTGAGCAAGTTGGAAGATCGCAAAAAATAAACCCGGCGACCATAAAGGACGCTGAGTACTGAGGTACACACGTTTAGTCCTGAGATAAAAGGGTGTGCAGATAGACAGGGAGGGGTGGAGGAAGGGAGGCGGAGAAAACTCGCCATAAAAAAACCTGAGCGACGGAGAGGAGTGAGGTAACAAGGAGCTTGATAGTAAAACGACCAATTCAAGTCTAATGGTGCGCTTATGCGTTGTACTTGTAGAAGGTGTATATATATATATATATATATATATATATATATATACTACATTCCTGAAAACAAAATGCGAGGCGCACAATCGGGACCATCGCAGAACCTGAGAGGAAAGGGACCCCCACGTGGCCTGCACTCCCGTAAGAGAGCGGTGCCCTGGAGGTCCACCTGAGGTGATGCTGATAACGATGATGACGATGACACGACCAAGCCGGGTCACGTGGTGGAAGCCTGGGAATAGACGGCGGCCTGTTGGAGGAGCGGATTGGCCTGCAGGCTGGCAACGTTGTGTTTGGAGCGCATATGTCGTTTGAGGTGGATGTCGTAGGAGAAGCGTGACTCACAGTGGAGGCACTGGAAGGCCTTTATACCTGTCCGAAACCGGATGATAATGAGAAGGCAGTCAGCAGAGGAGAAATGAACGCACGAGAGCTACTCTGTTGACCATCTGAAGGCAATGAATCTTCAAAGATATCAGACTAGAGTCTAGCACCTGGTGAATATACAAACAGTACGTAAAATAACTCATGAAGCATTAACTGAAATTTCGAAACAGCATTCGGGGTTGGATAAGATTACTTAAGTATGGTTGCAGTATTCATTAGTCTGCAACATAATTCATATCAGCATGTTTACTCTTTTGAGGTGCAATTCCCAAGCACCTGCGAAAACTCTACTCGTCTGAAAATGGCTACCACTGTAGCACAAACCATTTCCGATGATTTGAGATGGGCTTGTCAATCTAGACGTGATAGGGGTATCGCAAGGTTATACCCTCTTTGGCGGTTTTAACTCAAACGTAAATAAGTGTTTATCTATTCCATTTGAACTGCGTCCTTGTGACTCGCGCCCGTAAAACAGGCCACAGCAGTCACCCTCCCTCCCGCTCTGCCCCGGCGACTACAGAAAGCACCCCCGTGCGTATGCAGGCAATTCGCGCCAAAGCCGAATAACCACTCCCCCCTCCCCCGTATAATTAACACCGTGTTAACATGACTTTCATACATCCCCCCACTATAAATACTGTTTGACGCCGTACGATACTCACCTCCGACCGGACCCAGGTGGGGGAGGAGAGTGCGGTAGACGCTGCGCAAGTCCAATCCCACTGTAAATCAGTCGCAAGTCGTCGTGTCTGCTTTCACCCTGCTGTGAAGCACGCGGTTGACATTGTCAGCCACGGCCTTCAGACTGGCGTGTAATTGTGAATCGGTCAGGTTTCTTTTTCAAATATAAATTTCGTTTTTTTAAATTCGGCCTTACAAAATGGGAGACAAAACAATGGGGGGCCAGTCGTGTTCGTCATCGTATGCTGTATGAATTTCGCAAACGAAAGAACGCAACAACAGCTTCTGAGACAAGCTGCGGTGTTTATCCAAATGTCCCTGTTACCTTCAAATGCAAGCGCTGGTTCGCGACATTCCGTTCGAATGATTTCGGCCCTTAAGATGCCCATCGTCATCGAATGACCTTTTGCGCGCAACCACCGAGGCGGATCCTCCTCAAAACACTGAGAAATTATCAGGAAAACAAAATTCGTTTTGGTCCACTGTTCAGGGAACCGTCAACAGACAGGGCAGGTCAGGAGACAATGCATTTGGATATAATACCACCCTTCGACGGAAAACAAAACCCAGCGTTCCACAATCTGTGGCTTTTTGCCCAGCAGACAAGATATTCCATGACCGCCCGCGCAAGTAAAACTCTGTAAGAAACTACTACTTATTTTGTATGGATTTTTCCCATCCATTTTCGATGCCTCTATATATTCAATCGTATTTTATAGAAAAAACGCATAAAACATTATTTTAGCCATTTGATAGCAAATTACGTCTTCTTCAAATAGTATACTTGGGAAAAGTGTGTCTTTCGATTTGAAAAGTTTCTAATTATAAAGTTCTTCGAAACCGTGAAATATCCAATGTTACAGCATCGCATCACACATTTATTAATGCAGCTTATAAAGTGGACAACGCGGCCAGCATTCATCGCAAAACTTACTGAGCCCTATAGTTCAGAAACCTCCAATGCAAGTGTGAAGACAGATCGGGTTCAAAATTACTCAGGAATTGAGAAAGTTTTTGAAACCGAAAGCCTTAAAGAATTTATAATCTGCTACAAAGTGGGTAGAATAGTAATATTTTTATGTATGTTTTTGGTCGAATATATTTGCTGACGTTACTGGAATATCTAAACATTCTGTGACATAGTAATTAGTACTACAACCCTGCTAAAGTAACCAGTCGTCTTTTTTAGATGATCTGGGCTATCCTTCCTATGTTGTCTTTCATGTTCAGCTCCAAAGCACTAACGACCGCAAGATGCGACGAGGTCTTCCACTGTCCCACGAGGTGAGCACAGTTGTGCAGGCTTGCACCGCATCTGCCTCACTCCCTCTTTCCACACTCACCGTGCTCCGATGGTGAGGCAAATTCAAGGTGACTGTAGAGGGGTGTGAGGTCTTCCGCGGCACTCACCTTCATGTACAGCCTCCACGTGGCGTTTGAGACTGGACTTCTGCGAGAAGAGCTTTTGACAAATGGAGCACTTGTAGGGCCTCAGGCCTAGACAAGGAGGAAGAAACGAGATTAGAGGAGCAGCTAGGAGAAGGTGGGCGTAGCATACCCTTGTGGACAGCATCAATGTGCTTCTGAAGATCCGAATTTCGGGAGAAACTCTTGAGGCAGTCCGGACACTGAAAGGCCTTTTCACCTGTGGACAGACAGCACAGAGAAGGGGCCGGTTAGAGTGGTACCAACTGACGACATCGATTTCTTACCTTAGAACCAGAACCCAGCTAATGAGGATGCGTGGGCAACCACGCAAACTATTGGACACAAGTGTAGCAAGTCAGCACTCAGAACTGCTGAAGAGGGAGCTTTGGAGACTACCCTACTTGCGGGATCCTCTCTGAAAAGTCGGTTTGCTATGACAAGATCGCTAGTTAATTCGATCTGGGAACTGACCTTCCCCCTCAGACGTCAGAGGTGGAAGCGCAGGATCGCCCGTTAAACGGCGCATAGCTGCCATCTTGAAAAAGTGGACGGTTTTAAATACCTCAATGTGCGACTGCGGCCGAATGGGCAGAGTAAGGACAGCATTGTCTCCCGAGTTGATGCTACCCACCGGGTTCTCTCAAGCCTTAGGAACTCCCTATGGATCCGACGCGAAATCTCCATCGCCACTATGATTCGCGTGTGCCATGAATCCGTCCGGTCTGTCCTCCTTTACGGTTTTGAATGCTAGGGTCTGCACGTGGAGGACGGGCGAAAACTGGAGGTATTTCACCACCACTGCTTGAGGACCATCTTCCGAGTGAAGTAGGCAGACTTCGTCTCGCTTTGACGACATCGCAAAAACAACCCAGGCTATCCAAAAAAGACAACTGACGTGGTTCGGGGACGTTCTTCGTCGGCCACCTCAGGAGTTCAGTGCCGACAAAATTGGCGTTGAGTGTGCCCTGCGTAGACATTCGCCATCTAGGCTGAGCAGCGGTTTTGTTGCTGCTGTGTTCACTCGTGATGTCTGCACTTTTTTGCCGGCGTCTAAAAGGACGCGTCATGAGTGTGCTGGCAGGCGGGGAAGCAAAGTGCAGAAGACCAAGCAGTGGAGTGTACTCAGTCAACCAGTACGGCCGCGTTGTCAAGTAGAACTACCACAACAAACGGTTCGCCAAAATAACCATCCCGACTGGGAAGACCAGTTTTGCAGTCACCAGTCAAATAATATAGCACGGCGGGGATGGTTGAACATGCATAAGCAGTAGTGAAGCTAACTCCCAAATCGCAATTGCGGACCGATGGAATCCAATCACATCTTCAAGTTCAACGAGGTCGAAGTCCTCGCAAAAGACTACAATCGCGTAAGCCGCGAACTACTTGAGTCATGTTTCACCGGATCGCAGTCCATCAATAGGCGCTATGACCTCCCCCCGCATATTTAGCTTTCAAATAAACAATACCGACTACGAATGGTCGACTAGAGCAAAAAAGGCAATCACTGCACGAACAAGGACTATCTACAATGGATGCATAGAAGCTGGATCTTATCAATACTACAGCCCGATGTGTCGCGCTATCTTAATTGGCTGCTCTCTCTCTTCCACCACATACTCTCTCTATCTCTCCATCTCCCTCTATCTCTCTCTCGCCCGCGGGAGGTTCCGGGTTCGCTGATGGGACGTCCTCCTACAAGCATCATTTTGGCAAGTACTTATTCGTCATCCTAACGGTGTGACCTAGAAACGGGATGACAGCTGTTGACACGGATGGTCGAACATGCATAAGCAGTAAGGAATAATGATTGTAACTCTCAAATCGTAATTGCTGTCCGATGGAGTTCAATCAGGTCTTCAAGTTCGACGAGGTCGAAATTGTCGCGAAAGACTAGAATCGCGTAAGCCGCGAGCTGCTTAGGTCATGGTTTTTCGGATCGCAGTCCATTGACAAGCACTATGACCTCCCCCGCATATTTAACTTTCAAATAAACAATACCAACCACGAAAGATCGACTACGGTAAAAAAGCAACCACCGCACCAACAAGGACCATCTACAATGGATGCATAGAAGCTGGATCTTATCAATACTGCAGCCCGATGTGTCGCACTATCTTAATTCGCTGTTTTCTTTCTCCCTTTAAGGATGGGCGTAAAAGAGTATAGAAGACGTCAGGTGAATCAAATTCCAGTTCCAGATTTCGCCCATGTCGGCAGTTTCTGTGGGTTCGGGACACTAGTGCGTTGGCGACTAGCCTGAAATTGACACAACGGGATTGGGAGGGGAGAGAGGGGGAGGGGCCTCTGGTTCGCTAATGAGACGTTACGGCAGATAATCAGTCCAGAGTACCCAAAATGTTGGGCGTTTTAATTTACGGGTCTAACGCGCTCAGCAAAATCTCTTCTCATGCTAAACGAGGTTTAAAGATGACGACTCACCTCTGTGAACGGCTTTGATGTGCGAGTTAAGATTACAGTTCTTGGTGAAGGACTTTCGGCATGAGTTGCAGGGATACGTCCTTGGACCTAGACGCAGACATGAAGGAGGGGGGGTACAATAAGGCTGACTCAAATAATAATACTAATAATGATAATAACAGTAGTAAGAAGCGTTTCCGGAAGGCCAAACAAGCGCCGAAAGACAGATGAGACAATGGAAAAGACAAAGACCTATCAGCGTGCTCTCTTTCTCGCCCTCAGATCAGTGGAAATGTCGTGGATGAGTCGTTATAACGGAAGACTTCGACCAGGGTAAAGCCATTTTCTGTATTTACACTCCAACAAACTCAAGGCTGATGCGTGCAGTGTACGTGACTTGCTTAAGGAGGGTGTTGAAAGCAGGCCTGGGGGTGGAGGAGGGGTGGGAAGAGCAACAGCCCAACGTCCTCACAGGACACAGACAATGTGCTGACAGTTCGCCTGCACTGATCACGGTCTCCGCAGCAGTGGCGTGCAGATATACCACGACGACCGACGGACCTGGCGTGGCCCTAAGTAGGTCAAGGTGTCTGAAAGTAGCCAACCAGGCAGTTAGGACGGCAACACTGCACGAACTCTAGTCATTTGGCGCATGGTGTGGACGCACAAAGTCGGCACCCTGAGGGTGTCTGCTAAATTAAATCTGAGCAGCCAGGAAGCGATCTGTGTTGGTTGCTCCAGCTAGGGGTTACACCATGGCGGCGAGCAGTGAATGCCGGTTGTGGAAAAGCGAGTTCTCGTTTCCGACAGGTCATTTACTGACTGTTTGCTCGAACGTATGTTCTGACGTTCTGATGTGGCTTGGAAGGCTGCCAACTGACGGATAACTTGGACCTCGCAGTCGACCCAGTATGTGTTTAAGTTGAGTTGCCTACCGGTTATCTGAGGCAGGCTGCAAAGACTCCTTCATAGTTTGACCTCAATGGCACTCACATTACGTGGAAGTGATAAGCTCGTCTTACGTAGATGATGATAGGATGTTATTACCGACAAAGACAAGGGAGATTGAAATGGTCATTTCTGGCTTATTGGTCGTCGTCAGCCAGTCGCCCAATCCCCGAAGTATGGAACACCCGAGCCTCGAACTCGCGACCTGTTGGTTAGAAGTCTAACGCCTCTAAACACTGGGCCACGGGCTCGTTGTCCTGTTGACTTTGATCGCGGGTATACAATGGTTGAGGGACGCCCACCGATCGTTCTGTTGTGCCTTACGGTATGACCGGCTGACGACGGATAATAAAACAGAAATGACTATTTCAGTCTCCCCTGTCTTTGACTTTCTGCCCATATCATGCGGTTGAGCTCGACAGAAAGAGAGCCCGTAATGCACAACGGAACGAGTGAGTTCCGTAAGAACGATCGGTGATGATGATAGTCCGACCGTCGCATACAACGATGTCCACCGTATGTTTCATAGCAGGGTGGGACAGGCAAGACGACTTGCTCATGAATTATTTTATGGCGAAAGTAAACTTGCGCTGCCTCTACCGCACTCCCTCCTCCTCCCAACACGTATCAGGTGCCAAGACAGTGCCGAAGAGACTGCAGGCGAAGTTGGGCCCGTACCTCGGCGATCCAATCCACACCCCCTGATGCACAATAAACACTTGACCCAGATTTTGACCAACAGCAACAACAGAAAGGACGTGGATGACTGGGCAGCCATGAAAACGACCAGTATACTCAGCGGGAGCGTAAGAGCATCTACCGCGAGAGAATCAGGTACCGGAGAACTGCCAACGCACACCAGGCTGCGGGGACCATGATTCGCTGCTCAGATGTTCACAAATCTTGCTCTCACCTACGTACTCAGTGACTCGGGGCACAAACTCCGGGTGCCCCAGCGGTTCTGAGGTATAGGCTGATGACGCTAAGCAGATCAGAACTGGCCATTCCAGTGTCCCCCAAAGTTTGTAGGCAATATTCCTCGAGTGATAATGTCACTTCCAGGTGGCAGAGCTGGGGAAAGTGCGTTAGCCGTTACTGACAATCAGTTGAATTTGCAGTTGAAAATACCAAACGTCTAATAAAAGCAGCCCGATGAATGGTTCGGGGGCTGCATTGGAACACTTCAAAAACATCCTATGATCGAGTAAATTCAACAAGTCACTCATGATGGAGGTCCGAAGGGCTATTGACATGTCGCTTCTTGATCGTTCCCCAACCAGTTCAGCTACGAATCAGTAGATCGGCAACGTCCATTGACGTTACTCTCCACAATCGCTTCTATTTAAGAACAACTAAAGATTAGAATTGGGTCGATCACACTGACAGTCGAAAGTCTGAATAAGTAAACTGGGAAAGAACAATCGGTTCACACTTTTGTTTCTTCACGCGTACGACCAAATGGTCGATACAATAGCTGGTGCGTCGTGTTTGACACAAACTGCCACCTATCCGGGGACGCAGGGATTTCCTGGCGCATGGTGTGAACAATAGTGAACTTTTTCAGTGGGTGGACGACGACAAGACAACTGGAGTAAGACGCCGGTGCGGCATCTGGCGAGATTAAATTCACGTCTACACGAACAGCACGCGTGCTGATCAGCATGTCCTCGAGGCGTGGCCCCCTAGCCAAGCCAGGCAGGTGAGGCAATTTTTAATCTAGCCGTTGGGTCGCCCGTACCAACGTGGCCAGAAAGCGTGTCGTCGCAGGGAGATTGGATGTAACCGTTAGATTCGATGGCATACCGCCCGCCTGCACAATCACTAGTTACTGCCCAAACCGTGAAATATGCCAAAGGGGCGAGGGGAGGCACCCTAGGATCAATGCAATACGCCAAGCAAACGAGCGCTTTTCGGTGTCTGAAACTTAGACGACGCATTGATCCACGCCAGCACACAGCATCGCCAGACAGGCCTGACCAAAATGCCATGCAGGGCTCTGGGGATTATCTGCTAATTTTCGTGGCTGACCTGATCCCTCCAGTGTGCAAAGAGTCGCCGGCAACGCCAATCAGCAACACCACCAGGCCATGTCAGCAAACAAAGATGAGGAATTGTGAGTTATGCCGGTTCAGTCAGTGGAAGTTAAAACTGTGAAGTGGTAGGATTGGTAGAATTTTTCGCGGATTATTTGCAAATCAGAGATGAAGATAAAGGGTCGAGCGGGAACAACCGCGGAACTGAATTGGCCTAACTCGTGCTGCCTGATACAGTGGAGCAAGACAAACTGTGAAGTAAGAAAAGACATGTCTCACGAAGCCGTGGTTCCGGTGTTGATAGCATTACAAACAATTGTTGCTCATGGCCTGCGGTCGTCGGCAAAAATGTGTTGCAGGACGTGGCATATCTCATGAAATTTTAGCCGGCATTCTGAAATGTGTTTTCGACCAGAACGGATCAATAAGATGGGGGGTGGCAGTAGTGACTACGACGCAGGATAATGCTCTGATATCTTTACCACGCCAGGATGGCGACTTTTGAACGTGCCACTTCGCAGGCGCCTACAACGACCACACTGAAAAAATGACCAAACAAACAGCACGAATATTTTTTACCAGATTCTTAACGTCATTGGCAATCAAAATATGCGTCACTGAAAGCATGCAGCGCAGAATATAGTTTCTCTGCCCACTTTGTGGATAATCTATTCTTTTATTCTTCTTCCTCCTCCTCCTCTTCCTCCTCCTCCTCCTCCTTCTCCTCCTCCTCCTCCTCCTCCTCCTCCTCCCCCTCCTTCTCATCCTCCACCACCACCTCCTCCCCCACCACTGCCCCAACGACGGCCGCCCGGGCGGCCGTCTCGCACATCATCAACCCTGACACAACAACCGACACCGACCCCAATTCCTCCGAATCCAGCGATGAGGATCAGGACTACATCTGCCCTCACTGCGACCGTACTTCACTTCGCACATCGGCCTGGTCAGTCACTTGCGAATCCATCGCACAGAAGCTGGCGAACCAGTGCCTGGATCACCAACCTACACACACCGCACCCGTCTCCACTGCCCACACTTCACTCGCACCCTTGTCGAAATTAGAGCGGCCCACAAGATAAAGATTCCCCATCTAAATTCAGGGAAGACGGTGTGAGTTGGACAACCTTTACCTGACTGAAAGTGCGTACACCAATGTTCTGTGTGCAGTCGCCGCAAGCGCGCTCTCCAGGCAAGTACTTGTGCGTCCGCCTTCGAGGTGCTATGTCCCAGCGCATGTGTGCGTCTTTCATTGTCTCCGCGTACGCCAGCCAATCAGATAGGGGGCAGCGTTGATTGGCTTCGGGCACTCGCGTGGCTAGTAACAAGCCTCTCGCGTCCCAGCAGCGAAGTGACGAGTGTAAGGTAGACAGGGAAGCAGCGTAGCAAAGGCGGAGGACAAGGAGACGCGAACTGCCACACCTTCAAGCATCGGCCACTTCCGCATCCACGAGAGCGGAAGTGACCGCTCTCACGACTCATCCGTCATGCCAAACCCCAGTTTCACTTCATCACCCTGCGCCCCCACCGCCCTTCCCGCGACTATTACTGACACCACCAAATGCACCTGTCCACACTGTTCACGCACATTCACCTCACGCATCGGCCTGGTCGGTCACTAGCGAATCCATCGCACAGAGACTGGCGAACCAGTGCCTGGAGCACCAACCTATACCCATCACGCTCGACTCAACTGCCCACACTGCCCTCGCACTTTCAGGCATCGCATAGACCTTTTCGGACACATGTGCACACACGAGAGCGGAATTGTCCGCAATTCCGACACTCCTACCACATTAAGCTCACCCACCATGCGCAGCCCCACCCTCGCTCCATCCGCCTGCGCCACCACCATCACTACCACCGCCTACTCCGTCGCTGACACTGACACCGCCGACTTCTCATGCCCACACTGCACACGCACATTCACCTCTCGCATTGGCCTGGCCGGTCACTTTCGAATCCATCGCACTTTAATTGACAGCCAGATTGCCTCGGAACTGCACGAAAATTTATCGGTTTTGTCTGATACATTTATCCCGTTTTTCACATTTGGCCTCGTAGCTCAGGTGGTTAGAGCGTCGGCTGTACTAAAGTCTTCCCCTTACTGCGTGGGTTCGAATCCCGCCAAGGCGCCGAGTTTTTTACAGTTGGATCAATACGAATTATTCAAAATCTGCCAAAATACCTATGAATATGTGATTACGCCTCCTCCCTGACGCCCTTCCCTATCCTTTCTTAACATCTGGTAGCCAGGCAAGGCCAACTCACAGTTGTCCACGTGCTGGGTCAACCAGGTTTCTGTTAAAGAGATTACGTCAGGGGCTAGATCGCAGAGGTGGATCTTCAGCCCGTCGAACTTTGATAGCAAACTCTGCACGTTGGTGTACAAGAATTACATTTTTTGCTGATGGTAGATGTGGTTACATTTTAGTTAACGCCTTCACTTAATATGTCGTTTGCGCGGTCATTCGGAACGGACCTGTCCAAAGGAAGGTTGACAGACGCCGCCGTACTTGGTTGTTGTATAAAACTAAGTTGTCATCCCCCTCGATGAGCCTCTTTTGTAGTTCTAGAACTAGTTGACGACGTTTTAGCCGTTGCGCCGACGAGTGGTCCGGTTGAAATAACACCTGGGTTAGAGTCTTTAATCCTGAATCGCCTGGAGTGAATGAGACTGGCTTGGTCGCTGCTGGCTAACACAACTTTATGAGGCTGGGGACAAATGGACACTGAAAGATTATCTGCTCGTTTTCCACGGCGGAAGGATTTGAGCACTTCCATAGCCTCAGTGGGTACCAAAATATCATTATGGAGTTCTTGGAAGAGTGACAGGTCTTCCGAAACTCGCTCCTTGGGGGTATTTGTACTTGATACAGTGAGCCCCTGAATAATAAGACAGTTTTCTCTGTCGGTTTCGTTTTAATTTTCTATGGAAGTGTGGTTCCATAAATGACGTAACGCTCTGGCACTATGCGCTGGTAATGGTGGAGCAGATGCGCTTACGTCGTCTGTTGGTTTGACTCTTATGTTAACATCCTTGGAAGAAGCGCTTGGCAGAGAAGACTGTGAATAGAACTCTGTGGCTCTGATGGATGAATCGATTCCACCGCTCGTACTAGGTTTATCAAGGTCGGACTGTTTCGGAGAATCAGCAAAGGCGTTTGGACACGCAACATTTGCCATTAGGGACGGAACGTCCGTCAATGTATCTGTTTCGGTCTCTACGGAGGCATCTTCCGGAAGTAGCCATTCGGGAGGTTAGCGCAGTTGACTAAGGAAGGGATGACCACTGGACCGACTCCACACTCCGGCCCTATATGTTTGACGGCAGTGCGTACTTCAGTCATGTCGTGAAGTTATGGAAAAGGAGCAAGCCACAGGACTAGAAGAAAAAACGTCCCCCAGGGTTAAATTGGGAAGACTGTGCGTATGGTTGGGATTGTCGGAGAATTTCAAGAATGCAAGGCCTGAAGGACGTCTTAGCTAATACTTTTTGGTAATATGCTAAGTGTACAAATCTAAGCAGCTCAAGAAGCAGTGTAGAAGTTACCGACTCAGCCTTTAGTAGGTCCTATTCCAAAGGTACGGTGGACACTTCGAGACAATATGTAGGATATGTAGGCTGTGTTGGCTAGGCTGAGATTGCCAGCAGAATCGCCAGGTTTGCAGACAATTGTCATAGTCGTACGATGAGGTCAATGATGACAGCAAGGTTGAGGGTAGCAGACACCAATGCGTTTTGGAATCCAGTTTCTGATGCAGGACCAACTGTTTCCAGTGAGGAACTCGACAGAACGGGTCTGGAAGCTCAGGACTAGAAACAAAGCGTTGTGGTGCTCGAATCTCCTTCTTCACTGTTGGTTCGGTGTGATCACAGAATGCAAAAAAACTGGAGTTAGGAGTGGGTGCAGGTAGTTGTTTTCGAAATTGTTTTACTCATCAGCGAAGCTCAGATATTTCGCCACGTGATTGGAATGATTGAACTACGATATTTAAACGGTTGTGTTTGAATTCAAAAAGTCAAACTGCGTAATGTCAGTCTGTTCTGCTTAAACAAAAATATTATTTACAAGAAGGATCAGCATATGCCCTTGAAATCGGCTCTCGATTACGCTTGTATTTTGGGCTAAATTGCAGTGGGCTAGCGTGCCCTCGTTAGTGGACATTGTTACTCTTTAAGCATAAAATACGGTATAATGTAGTGGTATACCCAACTGGTCATTAGCAAAGGCGCGGCCAATTGCCTTTTCTTTGGTTTAGCTCATTATGAGCGAATACGCACCCTCTGTTCAGGCTCGCCTAAAGAAGATGGTAATATTCGCTGAACTAAAGAACTATTGTTCAACGCACGGCAAAGTCTCCGTATTTGCCACCTTCTCGTTCCCTTAAAGCAGCATATGTACTCTGCAAGACAGCACCTAATGGCATCCTATGGCGTTATTTTTGGGAGTAATCGTCCGGTATTGCCTAAAACACATTTCACCTCTGGTGGACCAATTTATGAGCAAATAACATGTACCCCATGGGGTTCTCTTTATCAGGACTGATTGCCAAAGTGGTCATTCAACAGATAGAACACTTGATGTTCAGCAAGTAGGAACTAAAGTTCTGGGCTCATTGCGTCGACGAAACTCTTGCCATTGCAAATCATCTGACGCAGAGCACCTCAAAGAATTACTGAACTCGGCTGGCTTAAATACTTAATTCGCTATCGAAGGTGAAACAAAAAACCAACGTCCCTTCCTCAAATTCTTTGGCGTCAGTGTGCCACTGGCAATTGCAAACTACCGTGTCCATAAAGGCCACGACGATGCTATTCGCACTTTCAGGCCGACTACCGCAACTTCAAACTAACAACTCGATAAGCTGCCCAAGTGATGCGCATTTTTGCGAGCGCGTGCCAGTTCGACTACCAGCCTTCTGTCGGCTTGTTCGTGACTGTCCACCTTGTAAGCTAAATACCGTTCTGTTGAATTTGTCCGCTCACCACTTATATTTCAGCAATCAGATAACCTAGAGAGGTACGGGAAAGCTCCGCATCCCGTCTGCCTACCCTACCCCATCCCTCCCCTCCTAGCTTACGGCGATGCTGTAGGCACTCTCAGGTTAACTCGGATCCACTAACCAAAGACGTGGCCCATAGTGGTGTTCGGCAACCGCCTGGGACAACCGAGCAGTCCTATTTGGAGAGAGCACTGTTCACCCACGCTTGAGAATGCTGGGGAACCCAGACGTCTACAGGCACTGGGAGACGTGGGAGAGCACTGCTGATCCCCGCAATTGGAGGAGGCGCCGTAAACAAATGATGAGTAATCATGCAGTCTGCAGGCTGACCATGGCCGCAGACGCAAAGCACACGGTCGAAACAATTAAAATCCAAACATTGCCTCTTTATATACGTTCATCGCGGATGAATAACGAGGACATTTTCCCGGTCCTCCGGGTACGGTGGCTTCGGTTGCGGTTTTGTATAAAGGTTTACAGTCAAATGACAGTCAAACAGTACATTTTACCGCCGAAAATTAACCTTTTTGAAATACCACGACGCATGACGGCCAGCATTTTTTCCATAATGAAGACGTAAAATAGCGCAGGCACGTCGTGGGTCGATCTCTATGCCAATTATCACTGCCATTAGACAAGATTCCAATGAATTACGCGGCTGCTTGCATTAGACAAAGTCAAACAACCCCGTGTGTTTGTAGACAGATAACACAATATATCTGATAGGAGCCAAGTTTTGGGAATTCTGGAAATTTTTCCGCGGACCACAGGTGGCGTTGCAAACAAACACTTGTCTGCCATCATGCCAGTATAGACATTTCCCATGTCTTAGGCTTTTAACGCTGTTATCCGTAGTTTCAGCCGAACCACCGCAAATTCAAACCAACGAATCGATAGGCTACCCACGCGACGCGTGTCTCGGTGGGGCGCGTGCCAGTATGTAGTAGTCATTGCCGCCAGCCAGATGAGGACTACTTCTAAAATCTCGCGAGTCAAATATTTTCGCAAGGCTCATGAAACGGACATGCAAGTGAGCTAGTCAGGTGCAGTGCATCTGGAATGGGCGATGTCAGAT